CCCGCTCTTATACAGGTTTAAGTATATGTTTTCAAAAAACTTGCAAAATCAATAAAAACTTAAATGTAAAAAAAATATGAGGATGTGAGAGCCATGTTACATTCCCTCAGATTCACAGGTTATTCTGACAAGCTAAGGTGATGCACACTGTGACCTCTGGGTTCAGAATGTGTTTCACTTTTGTTGTCAGTAAAACCTGCCATGCAAGCTTATGTAAAACAATAACACTAGAGAACACAGAAAACAGTAGACCACATATTAAATGTTAATACTGAAAGGTCTTATTGTTTTCTTGATGGACAATAACTCAGGTATAATATTTTTTTTCTTTTTAAAGACTGGAAACGTTGACCCAGATAGATAAAGACACAGGCATATCCAAGATGTGTTTGAATCACACAGTGACTGCTGACTCCTGTTCCTCAGACTTACTGGTGCTCTTGGTGACAATGGTATCCTAGATGCTTATTAAACTCTAAGAGCTGGCTCAACAGGTTTGATCCCAGTGACGTTGCTGCTGATGGTGGAACTGTATCGCCATGTGAGGCTTTCAATGGGAACAGGAATTATAAACTTCTCGTGGACATTTTTGTAATTGATGTGACACATCAACGCCCTCACTCAAGGACAACGAGGCAAACGTAGAAAGAGTGGACACACAAATTCCTTTTTTAATAGAGCTAGATGGTTGTGTTTAAATCAGTTTTGACTTATTTATAGCACTGATGACTCTGCCATCATTGATCGAGGTTTCCTTCAGAGTATTGCCAGCTGCTGTTGAGTGACATAAGCCAGGAAATGGACCGAGGTCTGCACTTGTAGCAGACAAACATTTTTATCTTAACATTAAAGCTGAGCGCAGCTATTTAGCTGACAGAGTCCGATTAGAGGACGCAGACAGATAAAGGGGAGAAAAAACTGCAAGAACGAAGGAAATGACTGGCAACAGAGCAATCCGTATGAAGGCTGTGATCCTAAAGTTGCACACACTCGAAAATTTGAAAACAAAAAAAGCCATCAGTGTGTTAAAAACTAAAGCAGTTATTTCACCATTTACTGCCACCAACATAAACATTAAATTTAAACTAATCAAAAGCAAGTTTACTTCCTGTCAACATCTGTGACACCTAACGTTGAAGAAGGACAGGTAATGCTCAGATTCACTAATCTGAGTGATCACCATGCACCTCATTTAAAAAATGCAAATGCAAAAACTTCAGAGTGTAGTTTTATTCAACAGTTGTGAAAGAATAACAACATGATAAAACAGTTAATTTACACCTTATAAAGTTACTTTCACGCTGGTACCAGATACTGCTGGTAAATACAAGGTGAAGGCCTTTTTAATGGTAAGTAAACATGTAACAAACTGTAAAAAAAAGAAACAACAAAAAAACCCAACAACCCAAAACAGATGACACACCTTATCCAAATAACAACAATAATAATAATAATAATAATAATAATACTATAGTGCATCTGGAAGGTGATTCCTATACAAGTAAACCATTAACACCGGTCAGTTTGACGTAGGCATTGTGAAATAAAGTGTTTCTAACTTAGATCATATATGTTTAGACAGCTTTGAATTTTAGGCACAGCAGCTTACCGACTTCAGAAATCTTCCATCAGGTGATAAATTACTACAAGAGCTGGTTATTGTGATTTTCTGAGTTAAATTTCTGTCAGTCTGTGATACTCTGAATGTGCAACAGATTGTAAACATGTAAATCCTGGTAGAAAAATACTTCATAACTATGTTTTTTGTCGTTATTATTATTAGGATCCTATTAAAGCTGGTTGTAAGAAGTTTTCAGTGGTTCTCTTGAACGCCACTACCTACAGAAAACGCTGTGCGGGGTTAAAGTGCAGAACGACAAAGCTTCCTCCACTTTGTGCTTGTAATTCCTCCTCATTTGTTTCTTTTTCACTTTTCTGTCAGATCTTTCTCTCTCTTTTTTTTCTTTATTTAGAAGTCCCAAGAATATTGGATCAGTCATCCCGATAAGTTGGCACTCTTAACACATGTTTAATTAAGTCTCTTCCACAAGATCGTGCGGTGGGTTTTCTTGCTCAAAAACCTCCCTTATTCGTGCTACGCAGACTTCTGCAGCCACATCCGTCTCCTTGGAGAGCTGGTACAGGCTGAGGAAACCATGTGGGAGGTCCTTCGCCACTGTCAGACTCACAGGTTGGCCCATGTCTCGAAGCTTCTTGGCAAACATCACAGAGTCGTCCAGCAGGGCATCGAGAGCAGAGGCCTGCGTGGGAGGAAGAGTCAATTCAAATTCTGCTGTGAGTAATAGACTGCAGTTCAACTCACACTGGACTTTATGAGGAGAAATCAAGTAAGCTAAATGTTAAAAGTGCCTTTTGTATCTAGTACATTTTCTAGAGCATCTGTCCCGTTGAGCCACTGTGTGACTCAGCTACCAATGATCTGGGAGTGCTACATATTGTCTCAAATGACAATCTCAAAGCACCTATGATTGGACCTCTGCCTGTGGTCAAATTTTCTCCTCGTTCCTCTCACAAAACTTTTCTTTTACCCTTTCTAAATGTATCTAAATGTGTTCCATGTGCCTCCCTGTTCTGCAGCCTTTTGAGCCAGCCACAGCAATAAAGTTGCTTTAGAAACACTCTTGTTATGTCTTTCTGCTGGAGTCATAATCAATGTTTTTCTATTCCATCTATTTTTTTCTGTTCAGGCGAGAGATCTGGGGCTCATCCCAACTGTCATAGGACAGAGACAGGGTACACAATAGACAGTCTGTCAAAAGACTAACACAATAGCCCTTTTCCAGTGGTACCTACTCAGTTCGGCTCAACTCAGTTTTTAGGGTTTTCCAATAAGTGATAGTACTTGGTAACAGGTACTTTTTAAGTACCTGCTCAACCGGGATTTCAAATGAGCGAAGTTGATCTGAAAAGGTGACGTCAATGGACTGCATGCCACTGATTGTCCAATCAATGGCATCACTCAATGAGTCATGAGAGCAACTCCTTCACAAAAAAACAAAACCAGCATTTCGAAGACCAGAATAAAAACAAACAATGTGGCTCACACGCCAGACAAAAAGCAATACACAGAGCAGTAGGTACAGTGGCTTGCAAAAGTATTCGGCCCCCTTGAACTTTTCCGCATTTTGTCACATTACAGCCACAAACATGAATCAATTTTATTGGAATTCCACGTGAAAGACCAACACAAAATAATGCACACGTGAGAAGTGGAATGAATATCATATATGATTCCAAACATTTTTTACAAATAAATAACTGCAAAGTGGGGTGTGCGTAATTATTCAGCCCCCTTTGGTCTGAGTGCAGCCAATTGCACATAGACGTTGCCTGATGAGTGCTAATGACTAAATGTCAGTACAAATACAGCTGCTCTGTGACGGCCTCAGAGGTTGTCTAACAGAATATTGGGAGCAACAACACCATGAAGTCCAAAGAACACACCAGACAGGTCAGGGATGAAGTTATTGAGAAATTCAAAGCAGGCTTAGGCTACAAAAAGATTTCCCAAGCCTTGAACATCCCACGGAGCACTGTTCAAGCCATCATTCAGAAATGGAAGGAGTATGGCACAACTGTAAACCTACCAAGACAAGGCCGTCCACCTAAACTCACAGGCCGAACAAGGAGAGCGCTGATCAGAAATGCAGCCAAGAGGCCCATGGTGACTCTGGACGAGCTGCAGAGATCTACAGCTCAGGTGGGGGAATCTGTCCATAGGACAACTATTAGTCATGCGCTGCACAAAGTTGGCCTTTATGGAAGAGTGGCAAGAAGAAAGCCATTGTTAACAGAAAACCATAAGAAGTCCTGTTTGCAGTTTGCCACAAGCCATGTGGTCCATCTAATCTGACTGAGCTGGAGCTGTTTTGCAAAGAAGAATGGGCAAGGATTTCAGTCTCTAGATGTGCAAAGCTGGTAGAGACAAACCCTAAAAGACTGGCAGCTGTAATTGCAGCAAAAGGTGGTTCTACAAAGTATTGACTCCAGGGGCTGAATAATTACGCACACCCCACTTTGCAGTTATTTATTTGTAAAAAATGTTTGGAATCATGTATGATTTTCGTTCCACTTCTCACATGTACACCACTTTGTATTGGTCTTTCACGTGGAATTCCAATAAAATTGCTGTAATGTGACAAAGTTCAAGGGGGCCGAATACTTCTGCAAGCCACTGTATACCATCGTCTCGATGTCCTCCATTGTCACTTGTTGTTTGTGTCAGACACAGATGACATCACAGGACTTTTCTCAAGTTGAGTCAAGGCGAGCAGAGAAGGCACTAGTGGAAAAGAGGCAACAGACCCGCTCATCGATCTAACCCCATGCATGGAGAACCAGTCAAGAAGGCCACCGCTAGTAAGCAGTGACTGAACTTCAAAATAAAAGTGTGGGGATTGTTGTTATCCACTGGTTAGAGTGATAATTAAGTAAAGAAAAACATTAGTTTCAAATATACTTTGGGCAGCCTTTAGTATACATGGGCGAATATATGTATACACCCATGTATACTGGATGTCTGAGTGTGAAGCCCATGGGCAAAACTGATCAACTAAAGAAAAAGACAGAGGTGTCTATTGTGTGACAACAAATCGAGTTTTATGGCTAGAAATTCCAAAAGTTGCCCAAATCCTAATCTAAACATGAACTCTTTCCATCTCCTTTCTTACCACTATGTGCACAGGTGGCAGGCCTTTCAGCATGCTGTTGGGAGCCAGCAGGGGTGACACAAATGGATTCTTTATAACTGGACAGGATGTTGGGTTAACCATAGCAAGAGACTCAGAGCGCAGAGGCTCAAAGCCTTGTGGGTAACAAAGCTGAGCTCCAGAGTTGGGTACGGAAGCTTGGTTGGACATGTGGGTTTCAGTCTGTCTCTGTGAAGACGAGCGGGAGAGCGAGCGACCTGAAGTCCGCCTTGGGTCCAGAAAGGACTGGATCCAGTTAGAGGCACCCTGAGTGAGATCACTGAGCAGCATGGCCGTGTCTCTACTCAGAGTGCTCAGAGTGCTGCTCCCCATTGCAGGCTGCACCGTCTGGTAGTCTATACCTGAGAGGATACAAATGTTTGGTCAGCAGAGGAAACAACAACCGTGAAGAAAAACAAACAAACAAAAACAAAAAACCCACACACGAGTCTGGCACACACTTGTGAATTATTAGAGAATATCCACTGAACTACAAATCAGCAGATATGCCCAATACCTAAGAGTTTTACAAGTACTTTTTAAGGTACTTTAAAAAGAGGGTGTTCTATTGTTTATACATGAGAAGAATTTGTCACATATGAACAGAGGCTGGGGTCTTTCTGTATCCAGCTCAATCCCACAGTCCAAAAACATGCTATTAGTGATTTTAAAGTGGCCATGGATGAGAGGTAGATAGAGGGTTTGACTGTGTAACTATACAGAGCATTGTATGGGTATAAGAGGGTTGTATTTCAAAGTCTTTTCAGCGGTTAGTAAGTTGTACTTGAGAAAAACAACTGAAAAAACAGCTTCAGAAGCACTTGGTACTAAATCCATCGAACATCTATTGAATAACTCTTGGATTATCTTTGACAGAGACCTTCTGCTTCGGTCTCAAATATAACTGATGATCGTGAACAGTTGTATCACAACTACTACCCAACTACAACTTTGAGACTTTATTCCAGTAAGTCTTCTCATTTTCACCTTGATTTAAATCTAGATGTACTATTGTCTGTATACCAATAGAGTCTTGGGGGATTACAACACTCAGTCTCTTTTTGACCCTGAAACACTTCTTGGGTGCAGCTGGGTGCAAGAAGACAAATGCAGCAAGTGCCATCGTTAAAAAACAACAAGTCAGCAACCTAAAAGAAACCAGATGAAGAACAGCAAAACAAATGGAAGATATGTGAAATATGAGCATTAATGGATTGGTGAGGCTGTGCTGGCTTTATCTTTTGGCTTATTACACCAGTAATGAAGTCAGAGAATGAGAGGCAGTGGTGGAGTGAGCCAAAAAATAAATAAAGAGAGGGAGCAGTGTCAGTAAAAACAAAGCGGTGAATCATAAAAATAATGCGTTATTTTCAGACCGTTTTACAGCAGTTACATTCCAGAGCGCTAATAAACACACCCAGATCTCTGCTGCTCATAACTGACGAGCAGGCTTCATCACGTCTGCTGCGGCTCCTTTGTGTGTATCAACCGTCACATTGACATTCAGCTCTGAAATGCATTGAGACAGCCAGGATGTAATCTGCTCTGTACATTTTTAATAATAGATTCTGTGATTCGTCTCTACGCCGGCTGACTAATTTGCCTATACAAGCCTTCAAATTTTAGCCAAAATGATCTTTTTAAAAGTCAATTATCTGGAAATGATCAGAAAGCAGATCAAACTTCCAGAGTACCAGTGCTGGTTTTTGTTACTCTGCATCACAGACATTAAATTGGTGCAGGGCTGCTAGTATATCCCATGATATTGATGCTTATAGAAAAAAAATGTGCTTTTGGCTTTAGATTGTGACACTTGGATTAACTGTAAAATTGTTTGGTTCCAGTTTTTAACAGAGCTTAAGGTTGTTTATTAAGTAGGTATATCCTGAATCTATGACGGCTACAACTTACATGAGGATGTAACTTGTAAATATATTTACAGATATTAAGGAAAATTTTTGCATGGCTTCATTAAATATACCAAATTATACCCAGTCTGCCAGCAGACTGGGTATAAACCCCAACAATAATACAGAGAAAACAGCGAAAACCCAACAATCAGATGTCCCCTATGAGCAAGCGCTTTGGCGACACTGGAAAGGAAAAACTCCCTTTTAACAGGAAGAAACCTCAGGCAGAATGAGGCTCAGGGAGGGGCGGCCATTGTTGAAATTATGTCATTATTTCCCGGTTTAAAAATGGTTGTGGTATGACAGCAAAAGCGGAACCACATATAGTACAGGTCCACTCAGACAAAGCATGAAACACTTACATTATTAGAATGACGGTGATAAATACATGTCTTTGTTTTTGGTAATTAACAACAAGTGAACAACAGGTCACATGACTGAAACCTTCCAGTTTTTGTTTTGGCAGTTATGCGTGGCTGACAACAGGAAGACATCTAGGCGGTGCAATGAAGATTAAATCGAAGGTAGGCACAGATTTTGTTTTAAGTACATGCTTAATTAGAAGTTTGACAGGGCAGACAAATCGTAAGTTTTTCCTCCCGCATTTGACGTTTATACATAAATCCTCTTAATATTCCGTGTTCTTGTCAGGTGGCACCTGGATGTACTTGTGTTAAATGATCTGTAAAACAACACACCTGATCTCCATGCAGGCACACACGCCCTGCACACACACATACCTGCATAAGCATTAATGCACTTGGTGAGTACACCTAGAGGCAACAGCGGGTCAATGAGAGTGAGCAGGCGGGAGGGTGAAGCATCGGTGGTGAGCAAAGTGGCGGGGTAGGCGGCCATAATGCCGTCAGGGATTCGGATGCCGGTGGATATGGCCTTCATGGACACGGTGATGCAGAGATTCCCTCCAGCACTGTCGCCTGCCAGACAAACTCGCTCTGCAGTGGAGCCTGACAATAAAAACAAAAATAATTCCCACAATAATTCTTTGGGACCATGGCTGCAGATTCAGATGTGCTGTTGTGATATTTTTAAACTGTAAAAATACTTCCTGCCATGATTTTGTCAATCTAGTGCTCAATCTACTACTTGCAGTAAATGCAGTCATTTATGTGTGGTGTACTGTTGTGTACTTTTTTTAACTTAAGATATCTCAGACTATTTATCATCTGTTTTTAAATTAATCTCTCATGAGAAAAAATTAAACAAGAGAAAATTCCTAAAGTATAAAAAGTAGAGACTGGGGTAAAGGATGATTTTATGGCTTTCTTGGCTTTGGGGTTCATGAACAGTTTCAAAAATTCTCAGAAAAACTTATAAGAAAGATGAAATTTGAAAAAATAGGTTATTATGGTTTTACTGGTTTGCCCCACTTTAAATCAAATTAGGCAACATGTGGTCCATGAATTACAATGAGTTTAGCTTTACAGTAAGATAACACACACTGACCCAGCAGGTGACAGTTATTCAGTGCCCAGCAGTAGGCGTAAAAACATTCCTCTAGAGCTCTGGGAAAGGGTGCTTCAGGTGACAGAGAGTAGTCGACGGAGAGCACCGGGACATTCAGCTCCTTCGACCAGCTGCGAAGATAGTTCTGCAACACGAGTGGGTTAAAAGGCATGCGATTAATTTATTTTCACAGGAATGCAAGATCTAGTGCTACCTGTTACTATTATTATCACTGGAATTTGAGTAGAATTAATCAGAACAGCTATGACAGATAAAAAAGAAAAAAGTCTGTCTTCTGTTTTGTACCTCGTGAGATTTCGAAGTCTGGGCCACAAAGCCCCCTCCATGGAAGTGGATGAGCAGCCAGGGGGAGCGAGGCTGTTTCTGTACCCAGGGCAGATGGGTGGAGATGGGGGGAGGCTTAGCACGGGACAAAACTAGAAGCTCTTCACTGTCCTGTAAAGTGAAAGGATGAGGAATGAGATCATAAAATAAATGAAACAAAGCAATCAAGTCTTTTAACAGAAGTCATCTTTCAGCATGTGTACAACCACATTTTTGCAGCTCTCTAATGAAAACCTTGAATATTTCCCCTGTGCTCATTTTTCATTGCCCACCCATAAGCAAATTTTACTGGTTACTAAAATAGCTCTACTAGTTTTATCCAATCTCAAAAACACATAATACAAAAAATACAGAATGTATTTACTGCGCTTATTCTGTAAAAAGTCTGATCCTCACCATATTGGTCAGTCGTGTCAACAACTGTATTTACATATTATAGTCTTTTAAATGCCTTCTCTACATAAAATGTCTTTTTTCTTCTTCTTCTACTCTACGAGTTGTTGACCTTCACCTGTCCTTCTCGGAGTTCATAGGAGATCAGACGCATGTGGACTGGCCCGGGGCCCCAGTGAGCTATTGGAGGTGACACGGTGACAGACAGCCTGGGGTCGGAGGCCAGAGGAAGGCGTAGAGTGACTGGAGGCACGGTCATGGTGAAGTTTACTTGCACTTGTTTGGAGGCTATTCTGTTGAAGCCCTGAAAAGAGTAAGAAATGGAAGAAAGTTCAAATGCTGAAGATAACTTTAGGTAAAAGACAAGCAAAAGAAGGAGTCTGTGATTCTGCCTACTGTTAATAGGCCGGACTCTGTGAGGTTCCAGAAGGACTTCCAGAACTGCATGTCCAGATTCTGGGTAATGCGCTCAAACTCAGCGCCCCGGAGCTCTGGATCAATAACATACTTCCCTGATGTGAGGAGAGACAAGGCTGCTGTTCCTAAAGGAGGACAGATACTTATTTTAAAGATGGTTAAAGGTAAAAATGCCCATTCAGAAGAAGGAAATGTAACTTTTGACAACATCCTAAATTAAAAAAAAAAAAAAACCTCACCTAAGCCAGACTGTTGTTTACCATAGGTTTCTCCATATGAAACCATACTTATGACAACAGTCTGCAGGAACGGGCGAATGGAAGGGGAGTACTGTGAAACAAAATAAGAGGGGCATTTAATAAATACATTCAAAAGACAGGGCTCTTACTTATTTTTAAGTATTAATTACCACCACAAAACATAAGAGACTTGTGTGAAAGACCTAGGGATCGGTTCACCCTGCCTGGGACAGGGTTACCAGAGGCTCGCCCTGGAACCAGGCCCAGGAGCATCTGGTGGCTTGGCCTTAGTTCATGGGGCCCAGTGTAAACTTGCCTAATCTGCATATAGTAAGCGTAATGAGCCTATATTACAGTACTTAATGATAGTCTGTGAAGCCTTTGCTTTTATTTCTAAATAATAAAAATAAATGTAATTTAAGCTGCCAGAAATTAAATCGCAGTTAAAATCCTTGTCATGTTTTTATTAGGGGAAAGGTCTAAACCTACTGCAGGGCTGCAGGTGGCAGAATTGACAAATCAAACCAACAACAAAAAAAAAATATATATATATATAATAAAACAAAGTTGATTACAAATATGTCTCCACTGTTGGCTGACCTGAAAGCCCAGACAGCGGCCGTAGAAACACGCTTTGTGCATGGAGGAGTACTCCTGCACAAAGCTGCGGCTCAGGTCCTTGTCCTGCAGGGAGTACAGCTGGCCACAGTCGTTGTCGTTGATCAGCTGCTGGGCGAGATGGAGAAGAGCTCGGAGCTGGCAAAGGGCGCTGCAGTACGCCTCCATCTCAGACGTGTTGTGGTCAACCCTGAAGAAGGGGTTGCTGTAACTGGAGGCAATGTAACGGGCTTTGTGGATGATGTGCAAAAGGCAAGCCTCCAAGACCTGAAAGAAACAACAGGATGAGAGGTTGGAAGGCATACATGAAATGCATATGTTTATTATGGCTTTTCATGAAATATAGTTAATTTTAAAAAAGGCTCTCATGCAGCCCAATCACACACTGAGATGATGGGCTTTTTATATCTGTAGTGATTATTATAACATTTATGATGTGCTCCAAAACCTATGAAAATTTAAGATTGAACCAAGATTAAGACAATCTTGGTACCTACTATATAAACTTAAGGGAGAACTACATTTCACAGTAGTGTAACCACCAAACCTTAAACCACACAGGTTGTTTGTGGTTGTTTTCCAATTTGCAGAGTTTGTACTTTAACTCACTGCAGACAATTAATCAGACTGATATCATATTTTGTCAGTCTTCTACAGACTTTTGCATTACTTAGTTTGTTTGTTAATTGTTAATTTGTTTTATTCCTATGCACAATGTCTACTATTTCTCATGCTTTAGGAGTGTCTGTATAACTCAAGATATCAACAGATTTTTTTTAAATTTAAGGTTTACACATAAAAAAGATCTCCTGAACTGAATTGATATTTAATTTAATTGATATTTTTATATTGTTGCTGAATTTCTATAAACTTGAAAAAAAAAAAAACTCAAATGAAAAACCTAAATGGAAAAATATGTTAACTCAGCAAAAACAATAAGGTCCAACCCTCCCATTATCCTGAACTCGATAAGCAGAAGAAAATGGATAAATAGATCAATAAAAATGAGTGAATCTGTACTTGAATCATGTGAACCCCACACTTCTAATATTTGCAGAAATACAAATATTAAAATGTCGTTGATGTTAAAATGCAATAACCTACAATCTAATAAACCGATTTTTTTCTAATGATTTAAACCAAAGATCTCAAAAACCAAACACACTGTTAGTCACATAACACACACGGTCCAGCCACCGTCATACCTTGACCAGCGTGCGGTAGCCATTCCCGGGTGTTTGTGCATCAAAGTCATAATGGTGATAGACGGCGGTGAAGCTGGTTACTACAGGCTCCAGGGCTCGACCATGTTCCTGAATCTGTTTCACACAAGTGACCAGACGCTCAACAGCAGTGCCGTGTGGCAAACGAGAAGGCCCGCAAAAAACAGAGATGTTGTCTTGGCACACTTTCTCCAAGGTTGCAAACACAACCTCGTAATCCATTTCTGGGGCTGTGAAGGAAAGAGAGAGAAAGAAGAAGAGACCGCCGAGTGAAACTTATTCATTTGAAGTTCTCTGTGTCGATACAGCAAACCTCTGATGTGCGCTTTATACATCTAAATAAAAGACTTGGGGGAAACCCAAAGATCGCAGTGATCTCATTGCCAGTGATTACACTGTATTATCTGTTCAAGGGTTGAAGTTCAACTGACCTCATGAGAGCAGCTGACTGTTATGCAATAAAGAGCAATAAAGATAAGGAGAAAACGTGGCAGTCACAAAATAATAAACAAATCTGTGGAAGTCTTCTGTAATGGCAAAGATGGTGCATCTCCAAATGAAAATGAAATGAATCACGCCCTTTATTATAATATAACTGGGAAGGTATCCAGTAGTGTACTGGCCATTGGGTCTGTGCTGCATCATATTGTCAGCAATTAATCTTGCAAAAAATGTTTAAGTAATATAACAATGTCACGTTGCAACATCTTTGCTGTAACAACACTATTTACCTTCCCTGACAACGACACATTGCGTGAGGTCTTACATCTGATGATTTAGCTGTGGGTCGGGGAACTCCAGGGCTCAAGGTCCGGTGTCCTCCAGGTTTTAAATGTGTCCTTGATCCAATACAGCCGATTTAAATGGCTAAATTACGTTCACAACACGTTATGAAGTCCTCCAGAGATCTGGTAATGAACTAATCATTTGATTCAGGTGTGTTGACGCAGGGTGAAATCTAAAACCTGCAGGACACCAGACCTTGAGGCTTGGAGTTCAACAACCTACAACACAGAACTTTGCAAAACATGAAACAAAAAACAAACTTCCTACTAAAAAAGGAAACAAACTACATACACAGGCTTACCCAAAGTGTCATGGGATTGTCCACCATGGATGCACCAATTCGATTTGGATCAGATACCCATTCAATCCCGACTAACAAAAGCTGGATCGGCTGTCAGTGGTAAAGAGCTGATCTATGGGCCCATCTGTTCACCCGTTATGTTTGCTGTAGCACTTGTTGGAATGCTTTTAATCTTTTATTAGGATTATTTCAATTTAACAGTCATGTGTCATAAAGCAGGAATAGAAACTGCTATTCTGCACTCCAGAATCAGCAGGGAAGTCAAACTAGATGTTTCTTTACACATAAAGAATTCTTCCTGGTCTCTTCCCACAGTGAGGAATAGTTTTTTAATTCAACACTGGTGTCTAATTGGCACCCTATATTGAATTAAAACTGGAAAAAGTTGAATTAATGCGTTCCTAAATATCACACACACACACAACACAGGAGAGGACATTCACCCACTAAAGATCATATTGCATATGATGATTAATAAAAAGAGCAGTCACAGTTTAACATGCATCGTTGTGCTACATTAAAAGCCATTGTGGAAATGGTCATGGAGACAATGGACCAGTGTGTGTGGTGTGGCTTTACTAAAAAAAAAAAAAAAAAAAAAAAGTAAAATCTTTCATGTCAGCAGCAGCTGTCAGAGCACAGAGCCTGCAGCGAAGAGTGAAATCGGGACACCGTGCCAAATGTGGAGATGCTCATAAACACTGAAAGCTTTGTCGCAGTTTTGACACATGGTCGATTGTGTTTTTCCATTTCTGGGCAGCACTCCATGCCTTAGAGAGATGACCTTTAGGCTTCTCACAATATTTTAATGCTATAAGGGCTGCAGTGTGATGCACATCTGCCTGCAAAGCCCACTAAACAGCGGTTAGAAAAAAGCTTGCACAGATGACAAGGGCTGCAGCTATAAATTATAGTAATCTGCTATTCTATCGCTAATTGAGCAATAATAAATATTCAACAGAGTAAAATGAACTGCTGATTTTTGACATTGCAATATTTTTATTACTTTCACTGCAATCCACATTTGTCAAAAAAAAAACCTTACTGCTGTATTTGCGTGCCATATTAAGAAAATATTTTCTTAAATGCAAAATTAAATAATCTGAAGTATGGTGATATTAGATAAAAATAAGTATACATACTTACATTAACAGATGGAAAAATAAGAGTTCTGACATTATTATATCTTCAGGATGAAGTAGATTTGGTGTGTGTTGTCTGTGTGTTTACGTAGGGCTGCTCGATTATGGCAAAAATGATAATCACGATTATTTTCACTGAAATTGAGATCACGATTATTTGACGATATTTATTTAACCCTTTAAGACCTACTATAGAACCAAGTCCACCAGAGCTTATATTATTTTTTTTACATGCTGTAGTGCCATTTGTGGGAGCATTTCAAGTTGCTATACATCAATACAACTGTTATAGCCCATATTTTAATAATATGTATGCATTAAGTCCATAGTAATTACATAAATTGCAAAAAAGTGCAATAAACTACAAAAAAAATTGAAAATCGCTTTTGTTTTGTTTACATATATTTCTACTTGGAGAAATTTAAGAGGTTTATCCCTCAAAACTTTAAATACAAAAAAGTTGCAAAAAATAGTTTACAACAACAGGAAATTTATTTTGAGTGTCTTCATAGTTTTATTTTGGAGATACAGCAATTTTTATATACTGCAGGAAAAACAAAAAACAATCCTATGATGCAAATTTGCAAAGAAAACAGCAGGTGCATCATTTCACTGTGGGAAGTGTTACGAACAGCTGATAGGAACGGCAAAGCGTGTTTCTGGAATATTATGTTTTTGTTCCTGCAAGCGCTTTTTATGCAATTTTTGCAAAGCTATATGTGGAACGAAACCGTGACCGAGGACAAGCTGATGGCATCAGATGTAAGTACAACTCCTCCGGTTTCATATGCAAAACAAATTATTGCGCTAGCTTACACGGTTCAGGTTCTACAGGGATTTAAAAATAGTTACGCAAAACGGAGCGTGCTGCTCTGACCGGCTTTAAAGGGTTAACAATGACTTTAAAAAATAATATAAAATAGTGTGCAACACCACTGAAGTTTTTTTTTTAAACTCTCTTTTCAACCAACGGCAGTCACTCTCCAAATAACTTCTGCTTAGCTTTCCGAGCTTCCCTCGGGTCCTCTTAATCAGCGGTCTCCAACCTTTTTTGCGCCACGGACCGGTTTATGCCCGACAATATTTTCACGGACCGGCCTTTAAGGTGTCGCGGATAAATGAGGGAGGGGCTAATAATCGGCTCAGTCATTTTTAATGATCGTTGAAAGCCCAGATCGTAATCGTGATTAAAATTCGATTAATTGAGCAGCCCTATGTTTACGTGTGGTAGTGAATAAGTGAGTTTGTAAGCCTATAAATGAGCATGTGCAATGAAGAAAAGCGAGTACATCAGCATTCTCAGAACTGAGGCTTAACCTGCGGTTTGATGTAAAATTTCATGGTGCAGAAAAAGTTCTGATGGTGTAGATGCTGATAATGTTAATAATTGATGTTAATAATAATTCAGTGCCCAGCCTTACAGTGCCAGGTCAGTGGCCCATGCAAAACTTTACTGGTTTGCCTTTATTTTTAGATGTTTAAGTAGTTAGTTAACTACTGTGTGTGACTAGCCAAGTAGTTGACTAACCGTTGCTACTGTCACTAGTCGGTACCAGATGTAATAGTCATTTAATCTAATTGTTTTATACATTAATTGATACACGATGCCAGTAAATAGTTGTGTCCTAATGTCATGCAACCATCTACTACCAGATGCATATGATGAGAAACGACATTAAATCTGTTAACCTCGGCCTGATTTGTTGTTAACGCTATTATTGCTAGTTCTTTTAAAGGTGAAAAAATTAGATCGCAGATAAACGTATCATGTATGCAGAGGAGTCTAGTCATACATCGAAAGGAGTCAGCTGAGGCCTTCTGGGTAAGGTGGTCCGACCGATGTATGCAGCGGCTGGCCTGGGAACACCTCGACGTTTCCCTTGATAAGCTGGAGGAGGTGGGTGGGGAGAGAGAATTCTCGGCTTCCCTGCTTAGGTTGCTGTCCCCATGACCCAACTTCAGATAAGCAGAAGAAAAAGGATGGATGACTTATCTTTTTGTTATTTTAGATTTGAACTTTCATTGAAGCGGTTGCCATGAATTTTCAAACAGCGTGCAAAAAACACGGCACAAAATCACCCTTTTTAGTCAGGGTTTATTCATTTTTCAGGTGGTAATTTGTCATGTTTTTAACAACCCATTAACATGTTTGCAGTAACATGTTTTTATATCATATTTAACATTAATTTAGTGTTTTTCTTCTTCACTGTCTGGACTACAATGTGCAATGTTTATAAAGCACCATGCAAGGTGCTGCACAGTTAAGCAACATGACTCGTTATTGAAGAATGGGATTAAAGGTTTAAATTGTCTTTGTTTAAAAGGCTTTGGACATAAAACAGTTCCCAAATTTGGCTTTATATCCGAGTGTAAATTTTAGTTTTAGCCTAGTTGGTTAGTCTAATTTACTTTCCTTGTTTAGTCGACAAGGAACTTAGTAGCCAGGAACATCCAAAACAATTTAATTCAGATTTTATTTAGATTTTATAATAAATATGCAAAATAATGTTATCAAAGAGTTGAAATAATGTCACCCTCTTAGATTCCCCCCTGCTTGTTGTACCTACTGTTGTGACAGAAAACAGCACTGCTTTCATCAGCTTTCAGCAAATTGCCCAATTCAAACATGGTATCAGATTGGGTTAGGAGTTCATCTGAACTTCTCCAGCTTTAGCTTCACACTCAACTATGACACCATCACTGTCACTACTGCTGTTGTGTTATCAGTCTTTTTGTTGAAAAACTGGGGCCTGGACGGATTTAATGTTGTAATACTCTGCATTCACAGTGGGGGCTCTTATATACACTTCTACTACAGGTTTATTTTTAGTGGAAGAAACACTTGCCTTTGAATGGTGACAACTAAGTGTTACAGAGTTGTGGATTAAAGAAATCACCAAAGCAAATAGATTGTGTTGAGGGTTTTTTTGTGTAATCAAGTTACTTGCTGATTCGCTGCAGGCCTACAGATAACAAAATCTCTGTTCACTTCCCTTTTCTGAGACTGTTCCCAATGTAAAGGTCAAAGTGCAATTTCAAAGAATCATTCAGCTCCACTGTTTCTTAGAAACACCAGTGGTAACTAGGACCCCAACCACAAATAAACCTCAGTTCTTGGGAACATCATCAGGAAAGTTTATTCCTTATGGCTATACTTTGAAGATCTGTGTAAGTTCTTCGAAAACCCTACAAAAAGAGATCACTTGCACTTCTTTGCATTTTCTTTTTTTTCTCCTGTTGAGCTTTTCAGAAGTCTGATCAGACGATTAATCTTATTTTGTGCTTTTAGACACTATTTAGTTGCAGCTCTTGATATTATTTGGCAACCAATGCCTTTCATATGCTGCAGATCCCTTTTCCCCATCCTTCACAAACTTGAATGAAACTGCTTTCATGTTAGCCTACTTATCCTCAGCACAGGGCCATCTATCTATGTTTGTCTGTGGAAAAACAACAAAAACTACCTCACAAAAGGGTGGTGCTTGTGGCTCACCATCCATGGCTCCTCACATATGAAACTGCAACTACTTTATCTTTTACATATATTTTAATACTTGCTACTGGTTTATGTTGTCTAAAGGTAGGATTATTACTGCTCATTACTAAATGAGTCCGTTTTGTTTACATTTTAACAACTGGAGTTTAAAATGTAAACGAATATCAATGGACAACGCAATCAACACTTAGACCGAAACAACACCCTAAATTATAATTTCACTCTGCCGCTGGCCAGATGTGAAACGTGACTCACTGTTCCACCTGCAATGGTCCGGTTTTGTGATAATATTACAGTGATTCCGTGTTTCAGTTTCGAAGTTACATAACCAAAACTAAACTAAATGATCATTCGTGGCAGCTTGGTGACATCTGTTTAACGATGAGTCCACGCCTCTTTCGACGTGAGCAAACTTGCTTCCCTGCTAAATCTCTTTATTTATCAAAGTAAAAAGCCTGGCTTGTCACATGGCAACCCCTTTCTAACTAAACAGCTAACAGTAGCAAACACTTGTCAGCAACAGCGGTAGCAGGCTGCTCTGTCCGCTATCACTATCAGTTGTCTTCCCGGACACTGGTTTCACATTTACAGTCTGTATCATTCCGCGTTTTAAACAGCAAACCGGATATCTTAAACGCTGAAAACGCGCCCACTGTCGAAGCTAACAACGAGCAACAGTTTGCTACCGGTGACAACTTCGCCCATAACGCGAAGTTTCGGGACTGTAAGCTCGTCCTCCTCCAATACTGCCAAATGCCACCGTTTGCAAACAGATACAACCACCTAAAACGTCGCTAACGTTTGTTTAGCTGGATAACACTGTGCAGATGAGCCTAACACGACAGATGTTATGTTATGTGGGCGGTTATGTGACTTCGTCGTGTAGTAAATGCCTTCACTCACCTTCCCGCATCTTCTTCCTTGATCTTCTGACGATCTCTGTGAGCTCGCCCGCAGAATGCTGGGTAACGTCATGTGAGAAAAGCGCGTTCACGTGTCTACCATGACACCAGTTAGCATTATTATTAATCCACAGGTGGGATAAAAACAAGGATTGTCAATACTGAGCTGCATATTTTGATGCCATGGCAGCCATTATATTATATAATCTGATTTAAATCAAAGTTCTGATGACTAGGACATTTATTCACTATATATTAGTGGCAGGACAGTCAGGACAAGCAAGGCAATTGGTGTCTTCCTTGACAAATTACAAAGTAAAGCAATCTCTGTTCTTTCATCTTAGAGGCCTCTACTACTACTATCAAGATAACTTGAGGATTAACCCTGGGTTGTCTTTACTAAAAAAGGTGGCTCACTTCTTATCGGGGTCCCAAAAAGGTTGATTCTGTTCATTTGGACATATCGTTTTTGTAATAGAGTGAATTGTTGCCCCCCAGTATTCAAGAATTTCACAACTAGCGACCAGGATTTTAAAAAATTTTCAGTGTTAAAGAGGCTGTTGTGGGACTGTTCAAACATAAGAAAAAGCACTGCATGTGGGTCGTGTTGTCGAATATAATGAATCGAAGGAAGATTTTGAGTCATATTTGGAGCAGTTGGGGAAATTGATGTGGGCAAATGATGTTTCCGATGAGAAGAAAGTGTGCCCATGAAAGACAGACCAGACAAGAGGGTAATAACAAAATAAAAAGCTGGAAGGGACCTAAAAAGACACAGGAGCAAAGCAACCATGCTATCAATGTGTTGGAAACATTCAGGACATGAGTGCCTTCCCTATGTTCCACGTTTAGTTTAGTGGAACAAGGGAAGGCACTAGACTAGAAACTATAAATATAACATAAGCAGAAAACAACTAAGAACCATGAATAGTACGGAATCACACAGTATGATTAAAACAAGAAATATACAAACATTGAGTTACGATTTTGTTTAATCGTATGTTTGTTAGAAAGTAATCATATTGCTTCGAAGGAGGAATTTAATGCGGAATCCAGAAGTTGTTTTTTATGATTGTTTATCTACTAATAGTAATTTTGTTTGCAAACATTCAGAATCTCTGAAAACTGTTAACAGTCAAATTTAAGAAGAACATTTTTGTCATAATAATAATTACAAAACAAAAGAATCAAACAGTAAAACAATCAAAAAAAGACTCAGAGACAGGTTGCTTATGTACTACAGTTAAAACATTCACTCCATGGGAGTCTCTAGTGGCCATCAGATTAGTTGCAGCTATCCGGACATCAACAGTGTACAGAATATTTACTAGAATTTAAAAAACGGACAATATGCAAGATTTTAAGAATTTAAAACACAGTGGTCTGTAATTGTAATTTTCTGATATTTATTACAGAAAACAATAACATATATTTCGCAGGAAGCAATGTCATATTTGAGACACTGTAGGGAATAAAAGGCTGTAATGCAATTGCAAGAAAAAGCCTGTAATGTCCAATAATGCAGTTGTACAACTAGTTGATTAAAGTTAAGTAACTACCCAATTTTGTCAAGGTTAGCTCAACTTACAATAGAAAAACATAACTAATTATATTTTAAGAAGATTTTAAATGATTCGTCTTGGGTAAAGAAATATATATGTATATATATATGTATAAATCTTAATGTTGAATAAACACTGAATGAAGAGTTTAAAAACACCCCACAGATTAGTAGATGTATAAAAAAGACAAAGAAAGCCATTTAAATAAAGAATTCTGTGCTTAAATAATGAATTGTACAATATTAATATTAAAATATACATTTGTAAATTCATTTACAAATTCATTTTTAATTCGTTTATTAATTCAAACATGACTAAAGTATATTTTTTATTTAATATTTAAATTTAAAATAAAAACATTATTTTTTAACCAATATTTCAAAATGAATTATTAATCTATTAATAGCTACTTCAAATCGAAAATGAATTTCCCAAAAAAGAATTAAACTCTCATTCAAAACCAAATTTTAAACATTTTTTAATTCCAAAATTAAAAAAAACCCCCAGATGTTCAAAATTGTTTTTAAAGCACAATTCAAAAAGAGAAATAAGTATATGGATTCAAAATTCAGAGATTAATTTTTGACATTTAAACTGGTGATTCCACAACTCATATGAAAATCTATTTCCCTTTCCTGTTAGTTCACAGATTAGCATTTATATTAGCATATTGATTAGCTCTGAGATTAAACAGGATTAGCTGCCTGGATTTTTCTACATTGCTGTTTGTGCTCATAACTTTGCGTTGCTAATAAGTGTAAGCACGCACAAAAGCTGAAATTGATTCAGTTTAGTACCTTTCTCTGTACGTTCTGTGCTTATAATGGCCCTGAATGCTGTGATATATTGAGCAAACGATGTAGAAATAATTTTAACAGAGGTCATAAAGTAATTAAATCACTGCTGTAATTTTATTTGTTTATATTTTGTTTTTGTGTGAAGGTTTGTTTGATGACAACTTGGACTCCTCCGTGAGATGAGGACACACCCACATCTGTTCCATACCACAGTCATGGAGGATGTTACAGCTCATAGTCAGCTTTGCGGCATCACACACACACACACACACACACACACACACACACACACACACACAGGAAAACCACCAACTGGACTTCATGCAGGAGAGACTGCCTCAGTGATGATTGTCTCTGCATCCTCTACTTTACCTCCTAACCATTATCCCCTTTAACACACAATATAAAGTCACACCAAAAGCGTTGTGTAACTTTATTAAGAATGACGTCTGTAACTTGTACACATTTGTACTTTTACTTGTTTTATCAGCTCAGTCCGCAGGCACACACTTGGAGGTTCAGCTCTCTGTTTCACTGCAGGGTCCCTTCATTCTTCACATATCCGTGTTGGGCAGAGTGTCAATCCGGAGGCTGAATGGCCCTTGTGTAAGCACACACACTTCTTAGCAGTGCATGCGTATGTCCAACCAATCAGTGAGCTCCTTACACTGTTGCAAAGCTAATATGTATTGGTTTGGGATTTCAGAAATCAGATAGCTAATCCAATAATTAATCTGTCAACTAATCCAGGACATAATCCAGTAGTTAATCTGTTGCTAAACCACTTTCGAATGAGTTGTGGAATCGCCATTTAAAATGTCAGAAATATATTTGTTGAAAATCTTTGATTTTTTAATCCATTTACTTATTTGTCTTTTTAAAATTGTATTTTTAAAACAATTTTCAAAATCTGTTTTTTAATTTTGGAATTCACTTTTTTTTTTTTTGAAATGAGGGTTTGATTGAGAGTTTAATTCTTTTTTTGTGAGCCTTATTTTTGATTTAAAGTATTTATTAATAGATGAATAATTCATTTTAAAATATTGATTTAAAAACAGTGTTTTTATTTTTAATTAAATTATTAAATAATATTAAATTACTTTAGTAGTGTTTGAATAAATAAAATTAAAAATGAATTTGTAAATGAATTTACAAATGCATATTTTATTGTACAATTCATTATTAAGCACATAATTCTTTATTTTGATGCGTGTGGCTTTCTGATCCTCCATATAGCACTTATAAGTATCCGATTCAGGGACATAGTTAAGGTCATCACAGTCACAGTGTGTTTATTCAACATTCGGTGCTACTTCCCTGAACTGTCAAACAGGTCACACGTCTACTGATATTCATGCAGGTGCTCTTATTTAACATCCTCTCCTCTGCAGTTTCATACCATAAACAGATTTTATAAGACATAAACATGTAATGACTTTGCTTAAACAGATACTTTCAGTAGCGGGAAAAATACTGGTATATTTTATGTCTTCTAAGTTTGAGCTTGTAAATCATCACCTTGACAGGAAGGAGGAAAATTTCTTTGAGTTTTTATTTGCTTTGACTTAATTCTTCCGCTCTACCACTCAGCATTTTCTCCTGCAGACTTTTGCATCACTCTTAAATTATGTTTACATTTTTAACATGTTAACAAAATTGTTAACATGATTTAACACAACTTGTATCTTTGTTGCTCTTAATTTAGCAAAGGACTATACTGTTGAAAAGACTTCTGGGGTGCAGGATAAAATGCGGTGAACCATATTAAACCAAAACACAAGCCACTGTCCAATCTCAGTGTGCTACTGTTCAAAGTAGAACCGCCTAAGAAGTGAACATAACTTTCTATTTAACCTTTGGAGTGCAAAATCCAACATTTTATCATGTAAAATGATGACTCAGGGTTGCATGTGTTCTGGAGCCTCTCCAAACTGTGATAGGGTAAGAGGCAGGGTACGCCCAGGCAAGGTCACCAGCCTGTTAAAGGGCTCAAAGTATAACAAGTATCTTATATATGTGGTAGTTATGACAACTCGGAAAAGTTGTAATCGACAATTTAGAGCTTCAGCTTATGACAGTTGGTCTTGATATTTAGATTAAACCACTACTATTACTATTTCCAGCACACTTGCTTGATAAACAGTCAATTGGCTACTGAAACTCTGAAATAGATAAAGAGGATTAAAAAGCTGTCATAATTACACTAAACTTAACAACAACAACAATAATAATAATGATATATTTATTTGTATTAGATAGTATCAGATACCATTCATGTAGGTCTATCTCTTGGGTTATAATATCTATTGTCTGCAAACTGCAGTGAAACAGATTAAAAAAATAAATCTTTATACCAGAATTTAAAATCGCTCATGCTGGAATGCTTAAACAGTATTTATAGTTTCTATTATTATTTTTTATTTATGAAATACTCTGTGCTGCCTTGTTCCTCCTGAAAAAACTGTTTTTTAATGGCTTATGGTCGGTTGCAGGATAAAGGACTGTGAAAATGATTCAAACCAGGTTTGCTGCAGCTACAGCAGAGTACTATCCACAAAACAAAAACACTATAGTGAACACAACTATACTTTTTGTCACGATCCGCAAGGCAGAGCATGAGGAGATCACTGGTGAAAGATGTGGACTCAAGAGCAGACACTGACAACCGACTTACTGAGCGTGAACTTTATTCACAGTGGGAGGCAAAATACGAACAAAAGCAGAGAATGG